TATGAACCAAGAACAGTTTCATATAAAATCTCCTAATCTGAGCAAAATACAGACAGGTGTTATTCTAAATTTGATGACTCCAATATGCTCTTAGGTTGGTCTCCTATTCCCCACAGCACCTTGTGTATATACTTATGAGTATTTCTATACCTCCATTTGAATTGCAAAAATTAATGCCTGTTACCATTAAAAAAGAGTGAATAGAAACCAAAATGAAGAAGTAATCTTAGAATTTAAACTATTTTTAGATCTAGAGTGAGGAGAGGTAAATTAGTCTCCAATAGAAGAGTCATGAATACATGAAGACAGACTAACTCATGAAGCAGGACTCTAAGGGAATAGAGGGGATTTGTTCCAGAGGAGAATCCCAAATGCACAAGGGCTGTGATAACCTCACTGTTCCACAGGGAAATACAAATAAAAAGAGTAGTTTTTTGAATTTAATTTTTATATTGGAAGTGCATTTCTTTCAGGAAATTATGCTAACAAGAGATGAGAGGACAAGACAAATTTATACTGTTTTTTCGTCAAGATTAAAAAGGTAGCATCCTTATATCAATTCCCAAATTGTTAGGAATGCTAATAATGGTCTATAAATTCCAAAGTCTGGTAAAAACCCACTCTATAGCACAAGCAGAAAGCTAAGCCTTAAACAAGGCTTCTCTGTGCTGGAGGAAAACAAGAGTGCATGGTTATAGATAGTTATAGACAGATTTGTAGATGTAGGGGGGAATGTTGGGGAGATTATCCCCTATCAAGACTATGGTAACATTTTTGCTGGGTTCAGTAGGAGTGATAGTGAAACTTGAGAGTGGTAAAAATGTAGACAAAGTGCTGTGGGGAATAGGAGACCAACCTAAGAGCATACTGGAGTCTTCAAATTTAGAATAATACATGTCTGTATTTTGCTCAGATTAGCAGATTTTATATGAAACTGTCCTTTGTTCCCTTTATAGTCTCTCCCTCTTTTGATACCATCTGCTTCTTCAGACTTTGTTTTATTCCTTTTCTGGATTCTTCTCCAGTTTGCTTTTATATTTATCTGAATCCACTACACTATTTCTGAGACATGCTGCATGTATATATACACCTCAATGCAGCTTCCAGACAGTAGATACCCAATTGGTTGTGGCTGAAATAAATTTAATTCCATGTAGAAAACAATTAGATTTTAATCAGGATAAAATTCTTCCTGATTAAAATGCTTCAAAGTTGTGAGGACAGAAATAAATTACTGACTTCAAAAAATTCCTGTAAAATAACTTCCTCATAGCATCTATTATTCATTTGTCACATGAATATTGTACATTTGGCTACCTTTTGCTTGTGAGAAACTGTATACCTTTTGAATACATAACTCCTAGTGCTATAAAAATGCCACACAGATCATTAAAATAAAAACTTCCTCTGTTTTATAAAAAACTGAGGAACAAAACACAGGGGATTTGTTTAAAATTGCAAAGGTCCTCAGTGACAGTATTAGAAGCATGCTTTTCATTTAATTCAGGGTCTTTATACGATGATTTCTTCTCTTAATTTTGAATTTTATTTTGTATTCTATTTGTAGTAGTGAAATTAATCATAATTATTTAAAAATTTTTGAAGATCCATTGATTGCCGTTCAATTTTATTTTTTTTTAATTTTTTTTTAAATTTTTTAATATTTATTTTTTAGTTCTCGGCGGACACAACATCTTTGTTGGTATGTGGTGCTGAGGATCGAACCCGGGCCGCACGCACGCCAGGCGAGCGCGCTACCGCTTGAGCCACATCCCCAGCCCAATTGCCGTTCAATTTTAAAGATGCCACTGTGAATTTCTGTTGCCATGTTACAGGACTGTTATTTTAAGTGGCTGGTAAAAGTGCAACACTCCAGTTGTACATTCAATTGAAGTGTGTTTTATGGTGTATCTCATTTGTGTTTTCTGTGGTCATAATGAAATCTAAAACATTGATAATGTTGGTTGCTATATTAACCTTACTCCTTCATCTTTTAGTTCATCTTTTAGAAAAATACCATAATGTCATTCTTCTTCTTTTTTGGGGTGGTGGGGGGACTGGGGATTAAACCCAGGGGCTCTTAAATGCTGAGACATATCCCCAGCCCTATTTTGTATTTTATTTAGAAACAGGGTCTCACTGAGTTGCTTAGCACCTTAATTTTGCTGAGGCTGGCTTTTAACTTGCAATTCTCCTGCCTCAGCCACCCAAGCCACTGGGATTACAGGGGTGTGCAACCATGCCCAGCTAATTCTTCTTTATGGTTGAGTAATATTCCACCGTGTATATATACCACATACCACATTTACCYATTTATCTGTTGAAGGGCACTTAGGTTGGTTGTGAGCTTTAGCTATTATGAATTGAGCTGCTATAAACATTGATGTGGTTGCAACATTATAGTATGCTGATTTTAACTCCTTTGCATATATGCTGAGGAGTGGGATGACTAGGTCAAATGGTGGTTCCATTTCCAAGTTTTCTGAGGAATCTCCATACTGCTTTCTAGAGTGGTTACACCAATTTGCAGTCCCCAGCAATGTATGTGTCTTTTCCCCCACATACTTGCCAACTTTTATTGTTATTTGTATTCTTGATAATTGCCATTCTGTCTGGAGTGAGATGGAATCTCAGTGTGGTTTTAATTTGCATTTCTAAAAGAGGCTTTGAAGTGTTCTCACCATAAAACAGACAATTACAAGTATGTGAAGTGTTGGTATGTTAATTAGCCCGATTTGACAATTCCACAAGGTACCATGTGTTGAGACATTTCCTTATACCCCATAAATATATAGTTATCATTTGTCAATTGAAATGCAAAATTAATTATCAGCCAGTGAATAAATACAGTCGCTGGGGGCTGTGGTATTTTGTTGAAGCTATACTATTATCATCAACTTAAAAATTTGAATTTTCCATTTGGTTTATCATTTGGGCTTTAATTAAACTTTGATAAAGAATGTTTTCAAAAAGAAAAGATCTTGTATCCAAAAACATGCAGAAGAAAGTTGCTCTTACACAATGCATTCAACACTTTATTCAGTGAACCTCTAGGATATCATCCTTTTATTATGTTCTTTCTTTTTCTTTTTTTGGTACTAGGGCGCTAAATCACTAAGCCACATCTCCATCTCCTTTTTATTTTTGAGGCAGAGTCTCACTAACCTATTTAGGGCCTGGCTAAGTTGTTGAGGCTGGCCTYAGACTTGTGATCTTACTGCAGCCTCCCAGTGTCTGGGATTAGAGGCCTGCGCCACCAAACCGGGCTTATCATGTTCTTTATAATGCACTATATATGGTCTGGTAGCGACAGGGAATTTTGTTCTTTCATCAGAAGAAAGTATTTGAACTCTGCTAGATATATTACAAATAAAGCAATGCCATCTAAATTTCCAAACTTCACATCAAGAAAAATACATTGTAAAACTTCCAAGATTTCAAGGAATCAAGGCTGCCATGCATGTATTCCTTCAGCAGTTATTCACCACGTTCCTAAGTACCTGGTCCTGTTAGGAAAGTGAAAAGACATTGTCCCACTCCAGACAGTGAGAAAGGCACCGAGCTGACACAACAGTGCAGAGATGAGGGTGCCAAAGAAGCAGCAGAGTCGGTGTGGGGAGTAGGACACAAAGCAACACAAGTTTCTGCTCTGGGAAAATGCTGGAAGGCTGTAGAGAAGTGTACTAAGGCAGGGAGAGTAAAGTAGGGAGGTAACACGTGGGCCAGGGCTAGGCAAGCTACGCGCAAAGGCAGGAAGGGGACCCACGGGAAAAGGTGTGAGCGGCGAGGCTGGGTGCGCAGGGGATCTGGGTGACCCAAGTTCGCAGCGCGGCCAGCAGCGAAGCCTCAGCCCCAAGGGAGCTGTGAGCGCCACGAGCTCGACGATGGCGCGGAGACTGGAAGGACCGTCTCTAGAGGGGTGGTGGCTGGGAGAAAGTCGGGAACTAGCTGCGTCTCCAGGAGGGAGAGGACCTGGGGGCTTTGCGGGAGAGGGAGTCTGTGAAGACACTGCTGAGGTAAAATTTAAAAGGATGACCCGCCAGGAAGAGTCGCACTGTGTCTTAGCGCTCCATATGGCAGACGCTGGCAAAATTGCCGAAAAAATAATCACAAGTCACTACCTATATGGAGGCTTTTAAGGTTAATTACGATTACGTTGAGTTTTGGGAACATGAGAGTAGGACATGGAACCACCCCCTAGGCTTCACGGGCGGCGTGGGCAACTTCGCCCCGTGGCATTACAATCTCCCCAATGGCTGTATTTTGGGGCAACGGAACTGGATGGAAACTCAGTCCGCCGCGAGAAAACAGGCAAACACTTTTCAATATCAGTTTACGGTAGGCGTGCAGTTGCCGCGCAAACCTCCTCACGTCCAGTCAGTCCTTCAAGAGCTTCTTTCATTGTCCTCCACAATGCATCCCGTAAGGCGGTCAAAGCAGGGACAAGGTCCACGCGCGGCGCATGCGCATAACGCGCGTCGTGGGCGGAGGGCGGGACGGGAAGGATGTTTCCCAGAAGCCTCCGCCATCCGCGCTGCCCTTCCTCCCGCTCACCAGCCGCGCGACGTGACTCCGCCTACCACGTTCCTCCGTCGCAAACGGTGGTTTGTCAGCGCCCCCCTGCGATCCCGTTGAGCACTGCGGACGTGCCCGTAGGGCCCGAGCGAGCTTGAGTGTGGCAGGTCCAGCCGCTGGCGTCGTCACCGTAGCGCGCCGACTTGTGGCAGCGCGGCCCAGCAGAGTGGAGACAGGGAGGGGGGAGGCGCGTGAGGCCGGGAGGGGAGGGAGGCCAGACTAGGCTGGGGGAAGGGGAGCAGCGGTGGCGCAAGCCGCGCGAAGCAGCGCAGCCCGGGTCCGCTCCCTGCCTAGTCTCCGGCTCCCGACCCGACCAACCGAGCCGGCGCCCCAACACTCCCGGAACACCTCAGAGGAGACGGAAGGGAACTTAGCAGCGGAGTGACGGAGATCTAGCTTCCTGCGGTGGGGTYGCCGCCACCGCCGCCGCTGCTTTGAACAAGCGCCTCGACCTCGGCCTGAGGTAAAGGGCCGACCCCGGGGGATGGATGGGCTTGGGTAGCTTCTGGGTTAGGCGGGAGCCGGGGGCCGGCGCCGAGCGGAGAAACGGGCCAGGGAGACGGGAGAGCGGACAAAGTTTCGAAATTTGCCCGGCCCAGGCGGCGTCCTGCGCTTGAAGGAAAGTTGGAGCTGCCCCTCCAGGCTGGGGAAGCTGCACCGGGTAGAGCCCTTTTATCTTGTCGCTCCCCGGCGAGGGAGGCCCTGCTCCGGCTGCCGCCGCCTCACTGTCTGCACCCCGTCCCATTTCCTCCTTGTGGCCTACGCGCCTCTGCTGCCTGAGCTGGCAAAGCTTGTCCCCGCCCGCGTGCGGGGCCTTACTGGTGTGTGTGTGGGGGCGAATGGAGGGAAGGGGCTCTACGCTAGGACCGCCACAGACACCCCCTCCCTGTGGTGGCAACGTGTCCTGCTGAGCTTCCGGGAGCTCCCGATCCCCGAGTCTGTTTTACGAGGGAGATTTCGCTTTTGTCGCCAGCGTCCAAGCCAGCTTGTGAAACCAAACTTTACTGCGCGGTGACCTCTCGAGTGCGCGAATGGGGAAGAGCTGAGGCTTCTAAACATCATCAGCCTTTACCCCTTGTCCTGAACTTAAAACTGTTTCCCCCGCCCCCCTCGCCTCATATTTTAAACCTGCTCTCTGGCTGACAACTAATTGAAGGGAGAGAAGATCTGAACTAAGGTTAATGTGTCGCTCATGCTTAGACCTAGGAATTTTGAGCCGTTTAAGAGATTTCTTAGAGATGTTTGGCCATCTTGCCACCTACACATATTTTGAAAAATAGTTTTAAAAGACACGTGATTTAGAGTACCGGATTACAAGTACTCTTGATTCACAGATTAAAATGTTGAATTTTAAAATATCCCCAGTATACTTTTGTACTATTAATAGTGCCTATGAGCTGTGTTTCGTTCACTTTAGATTACATTTTGATGTCCTGGCTTACATTGCTGTCTCTACTAACAGTGAACTAAGATATTTAAGGAAAGCTGATGAACATATTTTTAACATAATGCTTTGACTAGTAGATTCTGATCTAAAATTTCTCTCATTTGGGGAATTTCCTCTGAATTTTGGGAAAAGCATATTAAAAATGCATTTTCTTGTTTTAAAAGTTAACTCATGAGTATGACCGCTTCACCAGCAGATTATTGAGTACCTCCTTAAAAAACTTCAGTTTTGTATTTTATTCTTAATTGTATTAAAATTTTAATGTGTAATAAAGTTTTTTTTCCAGACTTTCCCTTTTTCCTGCTTCTTTGGCATTTGATTTAATCATTTTACTATTTCGTTATTTATTAAAGCTGATAGGGAAAAGTTTGTAGGCCTTTTGTTTATGTGATTGTGGTTTTAACTGAGAGGAGAAATGGAAATTTGAAACTCTTTGGATTTCTTTGTTGATATCATTCTATTAAAGATAATTTGAATTTATTTATATATTGTCTATGCAGTTGAATTTTTAAAAGATTAGCAATTCTTATTGTAGCTGCACTTTAGCAATAATTTTATTTTTGGTGCTTGTAAATATATTAACAGTCTTTCAGTTTCACACTTATCTGAGAATTTTGAATACATTTTAAGATTTCAGTGGTGTAAAATTTGTTTAGAGTAAATATACCCAGGTTATTAAAATGTTCTTTAGGGAATGGGGCTATAACTCAGTGCTTGCCTTGCATGTGTGAGGGTTGGGTTTGATCCTCAGCACCATATTAAAAAAAATAAATAAACAAAATACAGGCATGCTGTCCATTTTCAACTACAAAAGAAATTAAAAAAAGATGTTATTTAGTATGTCAGAGGGGAAGAACACTATAGAAGACATTGTAAAATTGTTCTTAAATAGACTGCTTACAGACGTGTCATGGAGAAAATTTTAATGAGAATTTTCCCTTTGTAATATCTTCATGTGGTAAAATGAAGTTTACAGGTTAGGATTGAGAGTTTAGGGGTTGCTCAGCTTCCCCATCTTCTTTTGAGCATTAACCAGCGATATGCAATTTTCTTGAAAACGTGTTGTTAATCAGCAAATATAGGATGAATCAAGTGCAGTTACATGATGCTGTCGATTCATCATCAATAGTGTATTTAGTAATAAGAACTTGCAGTGTTTACTACCCACCAACTTAGTACTGAACTTTTTAGGTACATCAATGAGAAGTAGTTGTGAAACCTTAATTCAAAAGGGTGACAGGCATAAAAGTAACACAGTTAGCCATACAATAATTCTTATTTTAACTTCCTTTTAGCATCTGTTCCTATCTTTAGGTGATGTGAATTGGATCTTCACTTCCTTTGCCCAGTGAAATAAAGAAACTTAAAACCCCAATTTTTTTTTTATTCCATTTTCCACGATAATAACTACTAATTCAGAACTTTTAAGGCCACAGTAAGGACTATGGATTTTACTATGACTGAGAAGAAAAGCTATTTGAGAAGAGACATGATCTCACATATTTTATCAGGATCATTTAACAGTGTTAAAAACTTTAGGTCAGCAAGGGTCATAGTGTTTTTTTAGGAAGTTATTTTGCAAATGAGAAATGGTGGTGGTGGCAGTGGTGGTGTTTTTACATTTTACATTGAATTTTTATACGCCATAACAAAAAAATACAATGCAAAGGTAAGTCTTGGGAACAGCTACAGAATGATACTGAACATTTTAACTCTGGGCTCTACTCAGTACTGTACTAACAGTTATTTTTCAGATGGTATGTATTGAAAAGGAGAGGCAGCAAGATTGGATTAATTGCTGAAAGATTAGTTAGGAGGCTTTTGAAAATAGTCTGGGAGGTGCATGATTTGGGATGAGGATTGTGGGTGGGATTTAAGATTATTAGGTCTCAGTTGAAAGACAGGATACAGAAGAGAGAAATTTCAAAGATTACTCCTGGGTTATATAGTGGTACCAGATAAGGATGAAAGTTTTTTTTGGTTTTGACTGGATTTGACAAAGTGCCTTTGGACCTTCAAATGGAAATTCTGCACTTTTTTTTTTTTTTTTTTTTTTTTTTTTTTTTGCGGTGCTGGGGATACAACCCAGGTCCTTACATATGCTAAGGCAAACACTCTACCACTGAGCTACATCCCAAGTCTTAAAAATGGAAATGCTGTAGGCAGTTAGATATATGGATATATAATTGAGAGGAGGGGTGTGGGCTGGGAATAGAAAATTGGAATTACCTGTGTAGGTACTTGCAATTATGGGTGAAATTGCCTAAGGGAGGAACTATAACTTGGGGGATAAAAGAGAGAGGGAGAGAGATATCCTAGAATGGAACCATGGTGGCCTCAAATTTAAAAAGTGCACTGAAGGCTGGGGTTGTGGTTCAGTGGCAGAGCATCCTTAGCACCACATATGAGGAAATAAGTAAATAAAAGTCTATCAAAAACTAAGAAAATATTTTTAAAAAAGTGCACTGGAAGTGAGTTCCTAAAGAATACTATGAAGGTCAGAGAAGTAGGAAGTGTGTTGTAGAAGCCAAAGGAAGAGAGTATTTCAAGGGGAATGTGGTTGGTAGTGTCACGTGTTGGTGAGAGTTGAATACAGTAAGGGCTGAACACTTTTTCATTGGATTTAACAACATGGAACTCATTGGCTTTTTGAGCAATCAGGATAGGAAGCTGCTTATTTTCAAACTGGTACTCCTGTAATTTCTTAAATAGTTCTAAAAGTGCTGAGATAAAAGTTTAAGAAATTATCTGCCCATATAACAAAAAAGAGCCAATGTTATAAATATATACTATGTATCAGCCACTCTATTGTAGACACTTTACATAAATTTTATTTGATCTTTTTATTAGCTTTGTGTAATTAGATGTATTAGTCTATTTTGCAGAATGTATCTAAAACTCAAGAGAGTTTAAATGCTTTCATGTTACTGCACTTGCTAAGTCTCTCTGTATAGGTCCATCTAACTGCCTTAGTTGSTCTCCCTGCCTCTACACCATTGCTGTCCAGTAGACATTTCTGTGTTGATACAAATGCTGTGTATCTGTAGTGACCAGTACAGTAGCTGATAGCAATGTGGCTAGGAACACTTGAAATGTGACCATTGAAACTGGGGAACTGAATAATGGTTACCTTTTGGAGGGTACAGTTATAGATCAAAGGCCATTGACAATCTCATAAACAATAAAGCACAGTCTTAAAGTGAAAACATGTTCTTCATTTGAAACAAGTACTATTTTGGTTACATGCTAGTTTTAGGCACTGTAACTGAATTTTGTAAGTAACTGTCAAAAACAATATCAAACTTTAATACAGTTGAAGTAACTTTTTTCCTCCAAACCATTGGAGATTAAGTTGCAGATGCAGTCTTATCTCCTCAAAAAAAAAAAAAAAATACAAGGACAAGGACTTTCTATTATACAACAATAATATAACCATCAAAACCGGAAATAAATCTTGTTATATTGCTACCATCTAACCTCAGACTTCATTCAACTTTTGCCAGTTTCTACAGTAATTTTCTTTTGTAACGAAAGAATTTAGTTCAGAATTCTGTGTTGCATTTAATTGTAAAATTTTTTTATTTTTTTATTTTTATTGTTTTAGTACCTGGGATTGAGCCCAGGGGTACTTTACCAGGTAGTTACATCCCCAGTCCTTTTAAAAAAGTTGTTTATTTTGAGATAGGGTCTTGCTACATTGCTGAGACTGGCCTGGAATTTGAGATCCCCTTGCCTCTGCCTCCCAGGTTGCTGGGATTGTAGGTGTGTGCCACTGCACCTGGCTTTAATGGTAACAATTTTTTAGACTCCTCTAACAGCCCCTCAGTTTTACCTTGACTTTCATGATCTTGATACTTTTTAAGGATTATAAGTCAGTTTTGTTGTAAAATGTCTCTTAATTTGGGTTTGTCTGATAGTTCCTATGGTTAGATTCAGATTGTGTTCTTGTGGCACTAGTGATTTATTGTTGTTCTCTTTTTATCCTGTCAGCATACAATTTATTTGTCCCATTACAA